ACAACGTCTACAGCATTAGTGCTTGAACAAAATCAGGGGTTATATAAGAATAATCGGGTATACTATGCCCTACTTGCACATTAGTGCAATACGAATTGATGGAAATATGTTGCCTGAGAGTGCTTTGGGTAATATATTTAGGTTGCCTAGGGCACCTTTAGATGACACTTTTGGGTGGCATATTTATGTTACGTAGAAGTGCTTTAGGTGACTCATGAATATGGACTCTTTTTTAGACAGGGTTCAACAGCCACCTCTTCCTAAGGCTACACAGACGAATTGACTCATGATCAATTCTTAGTTTGGTACTCATAATGTAGGACTTTTTACATTTTGAGTGAACATGGAACTTGACTACAGGGTACGTCTCCCAGACAATCTGGAAGATGCTTCGCTTGTGTGGAGTGCTGGCCACCTTTGAAATTTCAGGTGACTTGTAGGAGTGATTTGCACCAACAATTAACTTGCTGAGTTATCTTAGGAGTGTTCTCCCGATGAATTGCTTTAAATTAATCTACGCATCACGCACACATAATGTGGGACTATAACATTTCAGTGCATATTGGAACTTGATGACTGGTGCGTCTTCTGGTTGACCTGACTCGATGCTAATTTTTGTGTGTTCATTCATAATGTGGGATGTTATCACTTTAATTGCACACAGGAATTGGTTCTCGATATTGCTATAGAGACTTATCTTTCCCGGATGACGTTGCACGTGGCATGAACTGTACTACTAGCATATGAGATAAAAGTTCTTAAAGTTAAATCCAGAACACTTCATCTATGGAAGAAGTCTGTGAATCACGGATCCAAGCTTTACTTCAAAAACTTCTATTAAAGGAAGAAGAGTATGTACTAGGACATAGCATCAAGCTTATAGATGGATAGTCATCATTCACAGGACAAATCCTTTGACTCGGAAATAAGTAACTCTGCTCATCTCGAGAAACATAATCTGTGTTGTGAATCATCTACATGACATGTTGGTTAATATTATAGTCATATGATAACTACCAAAACATATGATTATGAGGTATACTTGTATAATAGCACTAATCAAATACTGTTAATATTTGTAAACTATGGTGTTGTCAATTGGTCTTATCTGTCCTATTCATTCAGTATTTATGATGTATGTTATTTTAACTATAATTGTAATAGATACATATGTTAATTACCAAAACATATGCATAAGTGTTATACTAATATAATAGTACGGCTGAAACACTTAATATTTGGAAACTATTGTATCATTAATCGGTTGTTAATAATTGGAAACTATTGTATTATTAATCGGTTTTATTTGTCATATTCATTAAATATCTATGATGCATGTTATTATAATTACAATTCTGATAGATATGAACATATATGTAAACATCTAATCGCCACAAGAGATAGCTGCTAAGAAATTTAAATTGTGTATATTAACATAATAAATGATAATTGATGTATTCTAGTATTTACTTAGTGTTTCAAATACTGTAATTGTCGGGAAGCTGTTGCAGATAATTGTTTCATATGTCTTATTAATCGGAACATATATTATAATTAATAATTGGTTTCATATGTCATTACAACGGGACAAATATGTTGAATGTTATTCTGTTTACAAAAGCATGTGCATATCTCTTAATAGAATGTAGTTACTTGCGTCAAATCATCGAGGTGTCGAATATCAATTAATATTATATTTACATTTTACATGTCATGAGATTTCTATATGGAACTATTTATATATTTATAAATAGAAAATGTCGGTGTATTATAGCAGAGGTTTCTAATATCATGCCAGTGTAACGGTTCCCTGTTATTGTATTCATATGTTATTGTATTTCTCCTTTTTTTTTTTTTTTTTTT